TGACTCGGCTCCCGTTCAGCTTTGGAAAAGGCCCGGTTCAGTTCAAGGCTCAGTCCTGGCTTGGTTCGGCGAACACTAAGGCCTCACTTCAGTCTCAGGCTGGGCATTTGTTCAGCTTCGTTTCATTCTCACACCAGCTTTGCACCAACTTCGCACAAGGTTCCCTCAGTTCTTCCTGAATGTCTCTTGTCGTCAACATCCATGAACAATTCGGAGAGCGTGCGTGTCTAAAGGTGTGCACACGGCCCACCCCTGTGCCCCGAGTCCTTCTGAGCTGGCCAGCCCTGCACCCTGTTTATCCTCGCGTGCAGCGAGCCTTACACCGACTGATTGGCTGATCAGGAGGCATTTTTATGGACGGCCCCCGAAGTCCTCATGAATTATTTAACGTCGCAAACAGGACGACGATCACAGCCAATGGAAGGTCCCCGCCGGTACTTATTTATAGATGTCCGGTCTCGTCTTTCCCATAGGGCTGGCCTGCCCTTCAAAACCCCTCTACAGCGCAGCGAGCAGACAAAGGATAAAGCATCAAAGCATGCGTGCTCTACTCCCGGTGGGTTGGCATGGTAACGGTGACCCAATGCTTCGTCCAGGGCCCTTCAAATAGCTCCGCCCTCTCCTTCCAGATGCTCCACGTGAACATTGACGACTCTCAAGGTTGAGCGCACTCGACTCCTCGCATGAGAGGACTCTCAAGACAGAACACACATCCTCACGGTAAGAAGTGTCGAAGAGGGTAGATAAGGTTATGTGCAACGTACCTCAAAATAGCTGTCCCCAACCACAGATATTCTCACCAGATGACCCGATGCCAATTGTGATGAACAATCGCTGCTTCGGCACAACCAGCATTACACCGCCGTTCCACCTTCGCATCAATCTCACATCAGATAGTTCTCATCACACTGCAAACACCCAATATTCACCACGTAGCCTTCCTGGGGATCCCCTCTCCTCATGGGTGGCCTGCTTGCCTTCGCCCTCCTCGCTACACACCTCCCACGGCCGCTGGCCCAGCAGACCGCGTGCATGTACCGCAAAGGCAGAAGACAAGCGCCAGATGAGTGCACCACACCACAGCTCCAATACCAAATTGCAAGGAAAATGAGCAATAGCGAACTTCAGAAATCAAACAGCATCATACACATGAGACCAGATAGTCGTGACCTCGAACCAATAGCACAATTGCATCACGAGTTCCACCAAATAAGAACACAGCAAAAACTCATAATTGACAACGCTGGAATAGTCTCATCATCATCAACGAACAACCAATGTCGATATCCTATCTGGCGCTCAGCGCCCAGACTACAGATGGCAGATCCTATCTAGCCTAATCTACAATGCCACCGATGACGTCAACAGCTCCCCGAAGTACCAACAGATCTCAGCCAATGCCGCACGCTTCAAGCACCAGGTATCTCTCTCGTATCACTCACAACCTCGTTCCCCAACTCACAGATGCCACATGCACCCGAGGACCACCATGCGCCCCATCCAGCATGCAGCAGTGCAGCTCGGCTATGGCTGCCTGCTCCTTCCAGCTCGTCCGTGAGCGCGTGAGTGCTGGCCAGCGTTAGCGCAGCATGCGGCCAGTGCCCGAATGTCAAATGCGTGTGCAGGCCCTCTCCTAAATGGAAGTGGCCTGCCTGCATTGCGTGCAGCCTGGCTGCGCTGGGCCCCTGCCCAGAAGCTTCCGGTGGGCCCAGAGAGGTTGAGGCCCAGACCAAACGGATCAGGCCCAAGGCCTGTTACAGTTACCCGTTCCCAACTGCCCGCAGCCTGAGTTGGGTCCATGCTGCGTATCTCGCCCAGGGCCTGACTCAGATGCATTTGGTAAAGGAGGCCAGGGCCTGGGTGCTTTCAACCAACTGGCGCTGCGAAACTGCCTGAATTTTCCCCCAGTTGCGAAGTAGTGCAAAATAGGCCTCTTGTCGTCTGTCGAGCCTGCCTTCACTTAGGGCGGCCGACACTGTTGCAAATAGGGGCCCAGTAGGGCTTATCGAGGCCTTGTGCCTCGCACACCACTCATCAGATGTGCAAAATTAGAATGAACATTCTGCTACGAAACTGAAAAGTGCAGCCCGGCCGGCCATCGCTGTAATTTTTTGCCTTCTGTGTAGGCGGTAAATGGTGGAGGGAGGGCCTAACGCATTCTATCCGTCCAATAAGGAGCAGTTATAGGTTTTTAGAGCATCGCCAGACCACTGTCGACATGTGCAAAATGAGAATGAACTTCCTACTAGTACATCGTCACATGCACCTGCCACTATTTTGTCTTTTTCACATTTCGAGTGTGGTGTGGCGGCGAGGCCCTTACGCCACATAAAACACATCCGATAATCTGTTGAGGAAGGTACTTAACACTTACTGTGAACTATCTGAGGCCTCCATCAACTGGAATAAATCTACTTATTTCTTACCTACAGACTATGAACTTGAAGTTGAGTGGGGAGTGAAACACCTACCGACGCGCAGGTGGCCCTATTTAACAACTCAGAGTTTCAAGACTCTATCTTGGTTGAAAGATTTGTAAGCAGGTTATCAAGCTGGAGTTATAAACGCCATCTCTCATTGCTAGGAAGGGCACTGGTCATTCAAGCTGCAGGTTTGGCAGTACCGTGGTTTGTAATATCCACACACCTTCTTGGAGACAAGGCATACAAAGATATCAAGAAAGCTGCGGGCAGATTGCTGTGGAAACCAGAAGCTGCTGAGAACCAGAATTTCTTCTCTAAAGTGGCGTGGGAAACTGTATGTTTGCCCAAGGCTGGAGGTGGTTTGGGTTTACTGGACCAAAAACAACAGAATCTGTCTTTGTTGGCCAAATGGCCAGTAAAGGCCTTACTGGACGACCCTCCGTCCCCTTGGTTATCTCTGGCCATCTATATTTTGAGTACCAAATGGAATTTGAGTAGACCAGAGGACGTACTGGCCTGCCTACTAATCTGCTCCTTTGTCAACAGGAAGGTGAAATCGGTATTTTGGAGCAACATTGTGGCATACTGCGTAGCCACACGGCCCTGCAGGGCCCGTCCCGGACATTCAGCCTAAAAGCCTAAAACTTAGGGCTTACAGGCCCCGGTTGTTTCAGCCTGAAAGCTGAAAAACGAGGGCCTGCAGGCCCTACTCCGTTTCAGCCTATTTCTGGGTCTTTAAGACCCAGAGTTTTTCCAGCCTGAAACGGAGGGCCATTTTCAGGCCCTCATTGTTTCAACCGCCCATAAGACTCAGGCACGTAAACAGGGATGCGGAACAGGCCAGAAATAGCCTGTTCCTCACGAGCTTGAGCAGGAGCTGCAACGGCAGCCCCAGCCTCCAATCGGCATTGGCAAGAGCAGCCTCCTGGACTGCTCGCCTGCAGTCAGGAGGCACCCGGGTAGTTCATAGGGCTTCCCAGACACTTCACGGGAGGGTAGTGGTCAGTAGGCATGAGTAGTCTTCAGGATTYGGMCGCAGCACTCAGGAGGAGCGCTGCAGTAGTCTTCAGCGCTAGGCAGTAGTATTAGCGCTAGCTGTAGTCTTCGGCGTTGGGCGCCCATAGCTAGAGTAGTCTTCAGCGCTGGGCGCTGGTAGGTGGTAGATCGTAGAGTTGGGAGAGATACTGGCGGAGGCCAGTGGTACTTACCTGTGGCGCCATCGCTCCAGCTCCATCTTCGTGGTACCTGCATCAAGGCGCCAACTTCACAGGTTAGTACTGGACACAGAGAG